TTACATGATTGTCATTCTTAAAAAAATCTTAAATTATGCAGCTATATATTAGCAAATGTTGCACTATTTGGCAACATCGCATTTCAATTATATCACATAATATATTATTTGGCAACATCGCATTTACATGTATATCATATTGTATTACATTAATGATCTTCATTCTTGAAAAAAATCTTAAATTACGCTAACAAGCAGCTATATATTAACAGATATTGTACTATTTGGCAATGTCGCATCTCAATTATATCACATTATGTGTATTATTATTATTTGGCAACGTCGCATTTGTATCATATTACATTAATCATTGTCATTGCGAAACATGTTAAATATCCTTGAAAAAAATTTCTTATATTACGCTAACAAGATCGCATTGGAACTTACAAATTTGCTGACACTGCAATTTGCGATGTTAGATTACATTAATGTCATTATGTACCTAAAAATCTTTTGTTATAAAATCTGACGTTTATATTTTTGATATCATTGATTGGAAATGATTATATAAATATCCGCGAGGATTTTTGCAGAAAGTCAGTTTGTGTAAAATGGCTGACCGTAATCGCTCCCGCATTTAATTAGCAATCGGGAACTCGGTTTCCACAATGTGTGACCTGGCACTAATACTTCTTGCCCGATGCTATGTGATGGGCATAAAGGTTATATTGAGAAAGGGATTGTATAACATCAGAGATTTTTACTGCTTGGTTTCGTTTTGCAGTGATCTCCAATGCTATGGATTCATACGTCCAACATCGTCGAGCAAATAATTATATTTCAATTATATTTGTTTGTGAAAAATTTTTCTCTATATATTGCTTATTTATTTGTTCTTCTTTATTATAGCGCATCTCCTCGTACTTTGGAGAAGAATATTCACATTGACATCGACAGCGTACAAATTTCTAGAAATTGGAATCGCCGTGGGACTTATTTCCTACGTGGAAATGCCATTGACAACCGCATCGTCCTGCCTCAAGTTATGTGGACGCTATTCGGATGCTAAAAAGTCGAACGAATATCGAACGTACAGTCGACTATTTCATCATCGTTAATGATTCAGGAGCCTCAAATTGAATTTATCAAATTACGCGATGTGGATAATGTAAAATTATCATTGTAATAAGTGTTTGTATATGAAACCATTGACCATGCTCTTTATGCTCGAACTTGAATAATGTGTAGAATACATATATTGAACTATGCCAATATATGAATGGTATGAGTGAAAAGTTTAAATATTTCGTGACTTATTTACGTTAAAACTGCATAAATAACAAATATGATGCTACAAATATTTTGCGTAAGATTTATGATAAAAATTCATATATTGAATGCGAATTGACAAAGTACGCTGTACTCGTATATAATGCATTATATGAAAACTAAATAAAAATAAAAATATTTCAATGTCCACAATTATTCTTTCCTTCTTTCCATTCTTTTTTCCACCTTATCTCTACGTATCGCGCGACATCTTGTACGACAAATCGCACTTATTGCATAGTGTGTTCGCATTCTCCGAATCGTTAAAATAAAATAAAATGTAATATAATATAATATAACGTAATAAATAAATAAATAAATAAAATATTCCGTGTGCTAGAAGAATAAGATGACGACGCATAAGAGGAAAAATGGTAAGTATACATGGTAAGTATAGCGTACGGACTGCATCCTTTTTTTTTCCCCGCTACCCCTGTGACGTCATCTCCTCGCCTAATGACGTCACCCGCTCTTCTCCTCGCGGATCCCCCCACGCTACCCCCCTTCCCCTCATTAACCCCTCGGAGGACCCGAGTTAGAACCGGCCTATATACCTACTAAAAACTTTTTGTAAAATATATTTAACTTTGAAACTAAAAAGTTTATGGAATACGAACAAAAAAGAAAAAAATATTTATTATATTGTGCTTCATTTATATAATTTTTTTCAAAATTATTTAAACACTTTGAGTGTCAATTAAAAAAAAAAGAGGTTTATACATTGGAACAATAGAATTGAGTAAAGCACCAAAGAATAAACTTCAAATATAACTGAAACTATAAAGAAATAAAATCAATATAAACCAATACTGTGTCTTCATGTGTATATTTAATAGATGCTTTAATTCTAGGTTTGGATCCTATTCAACGTAGAAATACAATAGTTGTATCTGACAATATAATAGTTACAATAAAAGAAATTTGATATCTTTCCAAAAATCATTATACTAGATTTTTTCGAAAAGCATCCTAAAGATTAGAAAGTGTACTTTAAAACACATTTATATGAAATTTTATCTGATGTTTGATCAAATTGTAACGCTTTAAAGTAAAATAAAATTATTGCAAAAAATATCAATTTTTAATTTTATATAATTTAGGAACAAAATATCGCAGAAAAGAATTCAAACACAGATTTCATGTTGTATCTTTGCATTTTAAATGCATGGTTGTATACTTCTCTATAACTTTTTTCATCGAGATATAACTTTTCGTGAAGTGCAAAAAAATTAAAATTGTTTTCAAACTTTTAACTGGGTATAAGAATGTCTCATTTTAAATGATGATCTCAAATTTCTTAAACAGTGCATTTTAGGGAAAAATGTTCAAAAGTTTTGTAACTTCAAGGGAGGCATAAAACAGTATCATTGATTTGACTTTGGACATTGTCAAAGTGAAAGATCACTTTGAATTTGTTAAATGGAATTTCATTTTTTATTTCATATGCTTGTAGTTTACCTCAAGAGCTTCTCGAAACACTATAATAAAATATTTATTCATGAAGTTTCGAGTTATAAGACTTGACAGTTACAATACTATAAGCATTAGCATTATCCAATGGTGTCCTATTTAAAATCTTTTGAATGTTGTTCAGAATTATGATAGTGTTATGTCCAAAACTTTGGAAATTTGGTCAAGGAGACAATGAGGAAGAATGGAGGGAGTATGGAAGGACGGTTAGACTCAATCTCACAGGTATACGCGCAGAAGCGAACACCTGTGAATCGTACGTACCTTTTAGGTCCCGGAATATGGGTTAACATCCGAAGGGACGCTATGACACCTGTTCCGATGGACAGTGCGACAGTCGGTCCTACTTTTTGGGTCAAGGAACTTAATCCTTTTGACCCGGGACTGAACCTCGTGCAATCTCAGGTATTAGAGGGAAGTGAATGCGAGAGATGATATCAATAAAAGACAGCTAGGGAAATATACTAAGTTACATTTATTAATAATAAAAAAGAAGGAATATTTAAAATTTTTACACATAGTAAACCCCTTTTTGTTTACATAAGAATAAGAAATTTATACATATACTTAATACATTATGAAGGTATGCGTGTGCGTGTGTGTGTGCGTGCGTGCGTGCGTGCGTGTGTGTGTGTGTGTGTGTGTGTGTGTGTGTGTGTGTGTGTGTATGTGAAATTAGCCCGAAATGTGCAATTCCGAGCACACTGAAGTACACATATAATTTCTATAATTTTATAAAAATATGTTTGGAGTAATATGTTCATTAATAACGTTATTTATTTTTTTAAAAAATTACGAAAAAGAAAAAAGCAGGATCAAACATAGAATTCAACATTCTGATCTCGCAGCTAACGCTCGAGACCACGCTGAGTTTTTGCGAATCATCTCTACGAACGCGGTGCATAAAATACACGGAAAATCGTAAATATTTCATCAACTATCACATTTTAAAATCATTTTTGCTGTTAATGAGAAAGGTATATGATTAACTTTTTCGCTTACAAGGCGGGTCCCATGGGACTAAAAGAAGGCGCGAGGCATACCCGGCGCTATCGGTGTTTACCGATATGATGATACATGCCGCCATGTTGTGACGTATCATTAGGGACTGCCGCCATCGTCGCCATCCCACACCCCACCGCCGCTACCGTCACCGCCGCCATTCCGCCACCTCACACCCCGCTATCGCCGCCACCGCCGTTGCGGATCCTGCGTTCACCTCAAAGTGCGTTTCGGGCCGCCGTCGCGGACCTCACACTGACCTCAAAATGCGTCGCGGTACTATAACGTGGACTTTCGTCTAAAAAATCGGTGGCATATCATCGATGTGCTGCTACATAAATCAGTGAGGGGTAGATGAAATCATAACTGTGTTCTCACAATTCTTTCTTTTAAGGTCATAAGCGTCGATAATGATATTTATCTAGGAAGAACCGCAAGATCGGTGACACGTCGCGACACGTTAAGAGAGAGAGAGAGAGAGAGACGCCGATAACGATATTTTTTTCTAAGAAGTGGTCAGTGACACGTCGTCGATCCTGTGACCCAATAGGAAGGGTAGACAAAGGGACAAAGAAGTCGCAAATGGAATATATAATGGGTCATAAGCGCGCGGCACCTCAGTTGCTTTTAAAGATTACCGAATCGATCGCAAGTAATAAGTGTAATGCGAAAAGTACGGCTGACCATCGTATAGACGTTGAGAACATGGATGTTGTAAATGCAGACAAATTATTTGAAGCAATGGAAATAGAATTTGAGGACATAATGGACGATGTAGAATTCGAAAATATCTGAAATATTGAGGACAAAATCGACATAGCAGAATATATTAGAAATGTGGATGAGGAATACTTCGCGAATATTAGAGACGAAGTGTTTGAAGTATTTGATGAAATGGAAGTAGACTTTGAAAATATAATGGACCAAGAGTCATACGAAGAAATGTTGTCCGACGATAGTGGATGTGCTAGTGACATGAGCGAGTATGAAATGGATCGCGTAGAAAAATTCGTGTCGTCTTCAGAAATTCGTACGCTCGTCCTAAGCACTATGTAATCCACAATTATTATACAACGGGTGCTTTAACCGTATGCTTCATTCGTATAGTTGACATTAACGATGAAGGAATGTATCACGTCAGGGAGCATAAGATCGGTTCTTTCGGTAGTCTAGACGGCAGATCGTGCACGAATTGCAGAGTGCCTTTGTACATTATATTCTCGTGCAGCATGTGCCCACATTGCACACATTAAACAAAAATGAGTGCGAAAAAAGTGCCTGAAGACTGTGATCCGCGGAGGAGAGACAAAGATGCACGAACATCGCCGGTGCAGTTCCTATGCGGTCAAGAAATAGGTACACGTGGTGCGAAACAGGGAGTCATCATCAATGACGATAACGATAAAAAAGAATATTGGTTCGGACGGTTAGGAGATGAAACGATGCACATTCGAAGAGAGACTTCGAAGAGAGATTTTTTACAAAAAGCTTTCTGTTTAAAAAAGAACAGTGTTATCACTCAATGAAAAGTGAAGAAAAGATTCAATATAGCTGCAGGTGTATTAAGATTCCCGCGGGTGGTGAGAAGTGCGTTGAAGTGATGATAACAAATAGATTAGTGATGCCATACTACGACCGCGAGGAGAATCCTGCTAAAAAAGTGTTTCGTGACCTCTGTATAATAAGTACGAGAGCAAATCAATAAATTTTTAGAAAACATTTTTTTTGATCGATTCATTTTTATTTCTCAATATAGTCTCCTTTCAACTCGATACACTTGACCCAACGATTCTTCAACTTTTTCAAGCCGTCCGAATAATATGATTTGTCCAACCCTTCAAAATAAGTATCTGTTTCGGCTATGAGCTGCTCTCTGATGGTGAATCTCTTTCCTCCGAACTATTTCTTCAGGTTTGGAAACAGGAAATAGTCGCAGGGGGCTAAATCTGACGAATATGCTGGATGGGGAAACAATTCGTAGCGGAATTCGTTGAATTTGGCCATCGGTGCCGGGCATGTGTGAACCCGTGCATTGTCTTGATGAAACAGCACTTTCTTTTTTGTCAATGGGGACGTTTTTTCTTTAAAATGTCGTTGAAACGGTTCAATAAGGCTGCGTAGTAATCGCCATTGATCGTTTTGCTTCGACGAAAGATAATTGAAATAAATTATACCGCGTGCATCCCAAAAAACTGTGGTCACCTTTCCGGCCGATTTCACGGTCTTCGCTTTCTTCGGAGCTGGTTCACTCGATGAAGTCCATTGTTTTGACTGTTACTTCATCTCGGATGTGAAGTAATGGATCCATGTTTCGTCCATAGTAATGAATCGACGCAGAAATTCATCTGGATTTCGTTGAAACATCTCCAAACATTGTTTTGAAATCATCACACGGTCGCGCTTATGGTCCACAGTGAGCAAACTCATCTTGCCGATAGCTTTTTCATAATTGTTCGTGCAAAATTGAAATACTGTGCCATATGCCTATGGCCTCAACAAGCTCGCGCACTTTCACTCGTCGATCAGTCAAAACAATATTGTGAACTTTATCGATTTCTAGCGTAGCAGTCTCAATTGGACGTCCCGAATGAGGTGCATCACATGTGGATGCACGTTTAAATTCATTCACCCAATTGTATACAGTCACAAACTGGTGCAGATGTGCTTTGAATATTATCCAACTCGGCTTTGATTTCTTTCGGCGTTAAACCTTTCATATGTAGATATTTAATCACTGCACGAAACTCGTTTTTTTCCATTTTGCAAAAAATACAGAAAAATACAAAAGGTTGCTTTAATTGTCTACAGAAATCAAACCACGTGATGAATTCCGCTCAAAATTTGACAGTAATCAGCTGAAAGATGCTACTGTCAAAAAGTAATGTGACATGACACTGCGAGTGCCCTCTGACAGATTTTCTAAGAACTTATTGACTTGCCCTCGTAAATTATGCTACCCCCTGTAAAAAATGCACTTTAGTAGACGAACATAATACCAAGGTGATAAAACGTTATGACATTCTAGATATAAAGCGATGCTGCAACGTATGTGAACAAGTCAAGTGCTCCGTGTAAGAATGTGATCTAAAGACTGTGAAAAAAACATGGAAAACCACGAGCGAGTGGAACTGCTGGAATAGTGCGGCCAGGTCGCTACTCTGATAGAGTGTTTCGCGTGGCTACAATGATGAGTGCATTGAGAAGCTCGAAGAACTTTGTGCCAAGCGTCAGCGCCTCGCCATTGGACACAGACCGTGGTCGCGCGACTCGCGGGTGCAAAGTCACAATTGGAGCGACGTTTCGTGCACATTGATGGTGAGTACGCGAGTGGCGAATGATCTCTTGTCTGGGGAGAGACCGACGCCGCGTTCGAGAATCATATATTAACAGGTGTGGTGATAAACTCTAATCACATTGAGTCGCAATGGTTTTTAGAAGACGCTGCCGATGTAATGCTCGAATGAGGCATTGTAGAAAAACATGGTAGTGTAAAAGTGAACACCGCGTTCAACGGCGAGTTCATGAAGGATAAACGTGCTAATAAGAGCATAATTACAAAGAACAGCAGAATATATCGTTGTGCCAATATGCGCGAGTGGTACGAGCAACACGTCGTCGAGCCTATCCTAGCATCGCTCGAAGAGTTCCAGAAACGTGACAGCGGGTGGGCATTGTCGCGAATTCTCAATTAGTTAATGTGGACAAATCCCCTGCGCGAGGGATATCACTTCGAAGTGCCGCGAGAAATTATACTTAAGAAAGCGGTGATCAACGTGCATTCGATGGATAATGCATTCTTCGCGTGATCGGTGGTAGCCGCTCTATACCCGGTTAAAAGTCATGTGGTTAGAAAATCGTCGTATCTGCATTATACGACAGTGTTAAATCTCGCAGATATCGAAATTCCGATATCGTTCAAAGACATTCCGAAATTCGAAAATCTCAACAACATATCGATCAATGTGTACAGCATCGAAGATAAACAGGTTCTTCCTCTACGGCACACAGGAGACAAGAGGGACAAACATGTCAATTTCCTGTAGCTACAAGATTCACGCAACGACAACATTAGACACTTTGCGTGGACCAAGAACCTGTCGCATCTCGTGAGCTCGCAGATTAGTGGAAAAAAGAACAAGAAATATTTCTGCGACCGGTAAGTATGATAAAAAAGCCAATAAAAAAGAAATAGACAAAAAAAATGATTTCTCTATTTATAGCCTCCATTACTTCAGATCGTGCGAAAAATTGCAGTCGCACGAAGTGGATTGTCAGAAGATCAACGACTGTGCCATTCAATTGTCGAGGTCGATAAGTGGTTCGAATTCAGCAACTATAATAACCGGGAACGAGTGCCGTTCATCGTCGTATGCGTATCAACAGCATGATGCGTTTAGCATAGGCTACTACGTACGATGTGCATACGCGTTATCGTCGTATCACTTCCGTCGTGAAGACTGTATAGCGTAGTTCGCGCGACAACGATTTGGCGCATCGCGTGAAAAATATTTATCCGCCAACGTGTCCATGAAAACATATTTATCTAAATAGCAATGAGAGGCATACTGTAACGCGACGCGTTGTCACATCTGCGAGAAACCGTTCGCGCCGGATGATATGCGGGTCCGCGATCATTGTCATCTCACTGGTAGATATCGCGATCCAACGCATTTGAGAATTGTAATTTAAATTATAAAAATTCGTTTTATATTCCAGTCGTATTTCACAATTTATCAGGCTACGACGCGCATTTTATAATTAAGGAAATTGCAATCGCGTACGATGTACTACCGATGTACTAACCAAAGAAAAATATATTTCATTCACTAAACATGTCGATAGCACCAAAGATAAAAATGAAAAGAATTTTCAGAAAAATTGCGTAAAATTAAGATTCATTGATTCTTTCAAATTTTTAAATGCAAGCCTCGATAAATTGACGTCGTATCTTGATAAAGATAAATTAAAAATTGTACGTTTCGAATTTCCAATATTATTAGAAGAATTTGAATTACTCACACGAAAAGGTGTCCGATTGATTTCGTCGAAAAATTGCAGGACACGCGCAAATTATTTTTCAGGTTATTTATTATTTTTAATTTGTTGACAGGCGATACAGTATCCAAGAGCGATTACGCCGCGAACATCTGGAAGCGATTCTCCATCCGAACGCTCAACAACAAATACAGTAATCTGTACTTGAAAACTGATGTCTTGTTATTAGCCGATATTTTTAAAAATTTCTGCAATAGTTGCGTCGCGAGTTATTGTCTCGATCCCGCGTATTATTATACATCGCCAGGTTTCACGTGGGACGCCATGCTCAAACATACGCGCGTAAGATGCGAGTTGTTCACTGACATTAATATGGTCATGTTCATCGAGCGCGGCCTCAGTCAATGCTTCGGCAGATACGCGCAGACTAATAACAAGTACATATGTTCGATCCATCGAAATCGACGAATCGTCGTACTTGATGTACTATGATGTGAATAATCTGTACAGATGGGCGATGTGTCAACCTTTATTATACGCCGAATTTCGATGAGTCGAAGACGTTGCGAACTTTGACTTTTTTTTTGTGAGTGCGATCGCTCTAGATTCACCTACCAGTTATATTCTCGAGATCGATCTCGAGTATATCCGCAGCATCTACACGACCGACACACTGCACAACGCGCGATAAACCGCCCGGCAAGCGCGAAAATAAACTTCTAGCGACGTTGTACGATAAGCAGCATTACGTCATCTATTACCGCAACCTGCAGCAATGTACTCGTCACCGTCGCGTAATAAAGATCCATCGGGTGCTACAATTCGCTCAATCTTCATGGCTCTGCGATTACATTGAATTCAAATTTAGAACGCTCGCGAAAAACGATTTCGAAAATAATTTGTATAAACTAATGAACAACGCGGTATTCGGTAAGACCATGAAGAATGTGCGCAACTACGTTGATGTCAAATTAATAACAAAATGGGACGGACGGTACAGCGCGGAGGTAATAATCGCGAAACCGAATCTCCACAGCCACAGCGGAAAATTTGATCGCCGTTGAAATGCGCAAACTCGAGGTGAAGTTCAACAAGCCGATTTACGTAGGTATGTGCATACTCGACATATCTAAAGCCTGCTTGAACGAATTTCACCACGAGTACATGTCATTGATGTATTGTAACAAATGCAAGATCATGTACACCGACACGGACAGTCTCATTTACTATATAGAATGCGACAATGTTTACGAGACTATGAAACGCGATATCGTTAAATTCGACACGACTGATTATCCGGCAGATAATATGTACGGTATGCCTCTCGCGAACAAAAAAGTAGCCGGCCTGATAAAGGATGAGAAGAACGATATGATAATGACCGAATTCGTTGGATTCAAAGCGAAGATGTACGCGGTGCGAGGACAAGAAGGACACTAAAAAAGCGAAAGGCGTAAAGAATAACATCGTAGCGCTAATGATAACATTCGACGATTACACGTGTTTGAACGAAGAGATCGAAATGACTCGCCGTCAATCGTGTATACGATCTAAATTACACGAGGTGTACACGATATCCGAATCGAAATTTGCTCTGAGACCATATGATAATAAACGATATATCGTACCAGACTCAACGGAGACGTTATCGTGGGGGCATTGGTGGATACCTTTGTAATATAATATTAGGTGTACAAATAAGTTTCCGCTGTTTTTAATAAAAAATTAAGCATTTATTGTGAAAAAACGATACATAATGTTTTATTGAAAGTATTGTCCATCGCTAGCCACTAT